TGGAAATAGTGTGCCTTCGCCATTTTGTGTAAATTTTTTAATTCCGAATCAAGCTAGATCTATGAGCAACATGAGTGAGTTACCTAAATTTGTTGCAGAACATTTAGGTCGCTCACGTATTTATTTATAACTACAAGTAAATATATTAAAAAACTCTACTAAAAAATAATTTCGGTTCGGTCCTAATATTTTTTATAAAATTTAAAATCGGCCGGACTTTAAATTTTAATTGAAATCATTACATTTTGTCAAATAAATTGATATATTTAATTCTTATAAGAAACAAAGCGCTAATATTATTTTTCAGTATAATATTATTTTACGAAAAAAAATATAAATTTTTCTATATTAAAATAAATACGGGCCAGACGGACAAATAATTTTTATTTTGGGTGTAGCTTTTGGGACAAATAAAAAAAATTTTGTTCGGGATCGGGCTAGGTACACATATTTTTTTAGATTTCGGGCCAAGCAGGGATTGAAAAATTAGGCCCAATGAAGATCACTAATTTCTAACTCTAATTTGAAAAATGAATAATATTTTACTCTTTCCAAAGTCTGATTCATTTTTTATTTATTATAAAATTGAATTTTTTTTTTATCGCGTAATTTTTTAAAATTAATATTTTATATTAATTATTTATCGCCATGTATATATATGCTTATGCCATGCTGTAAATATAAATATCTATTTTCAAAAATCAAATAGGGCTTATTATAGACTACAGCTATTTTGGAAACTAGTGTTGTAATCGCTGATCTAAGCTAGCATAATCCTAAAGTCTGCCATTTTTACAGTTAAAAATCCACTCAGTCTTTGTTTTTTTTAAATTGCCTAATGTAAATTTTTATTATTATTATATTAAAATAATTATTTATGTATATGTATGCAAGCCATGCTATATGGAAAAAAAGACAAAGTTAGAAGCTCTTTGTAAATAAATTAATAAATAAAAATAAAAAAGTTATTATTAAAAATAAAAATAATAAAGGCAAGGAAAAAATTTAAAATTATGAGCTTACTAAACGAGCCTACTAAGTGAGCTGACTAATTGAACCGAGAAAGTACGACTAAGTGAGAAGATTAACGAGCCAACTATTCGAATCGGCTAACGCGGATTCTTGATCGGTTTGAGTCAGAGCCGTTTTTTAGGACTACGACTCGAGTTGCAAATCGTAAGAACTCGACTTTTTACTCACACTAGTTCGGATACAATTCAATCCAATTCTATGATAACAGTAATAAAGAAGACATATTAAACAGGTGCCATATATTATATCAAACTTGATTACTTATATTTATTGTCGTGGTAGGCAGGGAGTTGGTAAATAAATTTTATTTTTAAAAATTAGATAAGTATCAAAATATATTTATCTCTCTCTTTCAAGTATCAATTTCATAATATATATGGTAAATTCCATATCAAATCAACCAAGGTTTCAACCCGACCCCTTTCAATTTTTTTTAAATTTTGCATACTGGTAGTATATACTATAACTAAGAAAAAAATGAAATTTTACCTCCCAAAAAGGCTTACCCGCTAAGATATGGGCGTTTAAAGCGCGGAAAAAATGGTACATTTTTGACAGAATGTGCCTCATTTATTTTCAAATATCTCGAGAAATGATTAAGTTAGAAAAATAATTTAAATTTTATTATGTAGCTTAATAATAGTTCTTTAATATGACATAAAAATAAATATAATATAAATTTGATGAATGTCCAAAACCGGATGTATAAAACCGGAAATGGCCATAGAAAAAAAAAGGTATTTTTTTTTTCGAAATTTTTTTCCTGTAGATAGATATAACCCTGCTTTATATTTGTACCAAATCCTAGCCTGGGATGAAAAAGGGTCTAGGAGTTATGACTCTTTATATGGCTTAAATTAATCAAAAATATCTTCATTTAATGAATACTTATAAAATAATGTTTATTTAAAAATATTAAAATTCAACAAATATCATCATATTTAATTGATAAATTCACATTCATATTGTAGTTTTCGTAACCCCTAATGTGTAAGCTCTATAACTTTTACTTCATCTTAAAATCATAATCACAATTTAATTGTTGGCGAATACTTAGTTATTGCCGACTTTTCGGAAAATTATGCATTTATAGTGCAAGACCATGCATAGGGATTTCATTGGAAAAATAATCAGTCCACTATTCACTCTTTTATCATTTATTATCGTCAGGACAGCACTATAAAACATATAAGTTTAGTGGTGATATCAGATTGCTTAAAGCACAATGCCTGTGCCTTTTATTTATTTTAAACTAAAATGATCTTATTTTTAAAAGAAAGATTTGTTACATTGACCAAAATTTATTATTTTTCTGATGGGGCCGTAACCCAATATAAAAATAAAAAAATTTAATAAATCTCTATAATCATTGTGATTTTGGTATAAAGGCCGAGTGGCATTTTTTTGCTACAGCTCATGGAAAAAGTCCGTGCGACAGTTTAGGAGGTATTACAAAACGGTTAGCAGCTCGAGCTAGTTTGCAACGGCCATGTCAAAACCATATTTTGACACTAATGGATTTATTCGACTTTGCAACAAATAATATACATGGAGTAAATTACATTTTTGTAAGCAATAATGAATACAATAATATGGAAAATCATCTAGAAAGCAGATTTTTGAGTATATGATATATTGTAAACATAATTATGAATTATTATATTATATGTAATTATGCATTTCAGAAAAATAAAGTTATAAATTGGTTTAGAAATATTTTGTCAAGTAATTTTCAGTCACAATATGTTAACAATTAAAAATAAAAAAAAGTTAGGGCCTATCATTTAGACATAATTTTTAAAAAAACATCATTTCATAAGTATTCATTAAATGAAGATATTTTTGATCAATAAAGCCATATAAAGAGTCATAACTCTTAGACCCTTTTTTATCCCAGGCTAGGATTTGGTACTATAAAGCAGTGTTATATCTATCTACAGAAAAAAAAATTTCGAAAAAAAAATACCTTTTTTTTTCTATGGCCATTTCCGGTTTTATACATTATCATATTTATTTTTATGTCATATTAAAGAACTATTATTAAGCTACATAATAAAATTTAAATTATTTTTCTAACTTAATTATTTCTCGAGATATTTGAAAATAAATGAGGCACATTTTGTCAAAAATGTACTATTTTTCCGCGCTTTAAACGCCCATATCTTAGCGAGTAAACCTTTTTGGGAGGTAAAATTTCATTTTTTTCTTAGTTATAGTATATACTACCATTATGCAAAATTTAAGAAAAATTGAAGGGGGTCGGGTTGAGAATCGACTTTTTTTGGTTTATATGTATACAATAAATGTGAATAATGATAAATAAAAAAGATATAAAAAGGTTCTTTAATTTACTACATTTGAATGTGTAAGTAATTGTCTTAGTATGTTAAAAGAAAAATATATATATATATGTATTCTCATTAGACGCCAATCAGATGGATAGTAGACATCTGATTGGAGAAAAAAATTATTATTATTTAATGTAAAAAAAGAAATAATAAATATAATAATAATTATAGATATAGATTTGTATTATTGATAGTGAAAATCATTATGTATTTCTAGGATAATTTTTATAAAAAATAAAGAAATTTTGAATAATCTATGTTTTTTTTATATATATATATATTTCGAAAAATATATTCAGGAATATACTTTAGAAGAATATACTTAAAAGGTTGGAAATATATTCAGGAATCCAAGGATTAAAATTGTATCAATACTTAAAAAGTGTTGACCGTATTCCCAGGATTTGAACCTGGAAATTCATGGGTATTCATTATTACAAGGTAAAGAAAAAAACTCCATTTTATTTTACATATTATATGTTACCTTAGGACACAACGCAATAATAACGTTTTTGTTGTTAAAATTTTTTTTTAATTTTAATTAACAAAATAGTTTGAAAGATATTTTTGTTTAGGTTAGTTCGATTAACACCCAGGCTTTATAATATAATATAACTTTTTGTAATAACGTAATTTTAGAGTAAAATTTCGTAATATGCGATGGTTGTGTATTTCGATAAGTATTCTGAGCCTACTTTTATTAATAAAATTGCCATCTTTAAGGATATGGGTTATAAAATCTTGTAACAGAACCTTAATGAATTGGATATAGACAATCACTTAGTTACATTAGGATTAATAATAATTATATATTTAATATATATACTTTTAAAATTTTTATGTGGAAAATGTACTTTGGTTGCGACCAAGGTATATGGTAATTGGAAAAGGGACACTCTGGTGTCGATTAATTGTTTTAAGAGAATTTCGGACTCGGAAAGTAGTTTAAATGGAATTTTAAATGAAATCAAGAACAGCAAATCAGGAATGGTTGAAACGATGAAAGATAATAATGATGATCGTTTGGAATTTGTGGAGAGATCAGTGGTTATCCTCCAGGAATTAAAAGATATAAAAGAATCTATTAAAGATATTTATAGTGATGTATCTAGGTTGATTAGTAAGAATAATCAAGGGGATAAGAAACAATTCGGTGATAGAATTATTTCGAATGGGAAGAGTTTTCCAAAAATTATTACTGACATGATTTGTAATCGGTGCGGTTACAAGGGTCATTATTCTAAGACCTGTATTGTAAAAGAACAGAATTTTAGAATGGGTTTTCCATTGCAAAAATCTAGTGGAGAAAATTCCAACGTAAGAAAGATTTCAGGCCTAGATGTAAATAAAGTTGATTCGTTGAAATCGGATTTGGATGGGTCTCGTGTATGTTTTAAATGTAAAGAGACGAGACATTTAGCTATAAATTGTGCTTCACACTGACTATATGATAGCGAATGTAATATAGCAGTTAAAATAGAGGGAAATAAAAATTTTAGGAAAGTATATTATAATAATAAAAAGAGATGGGATTCTCATAATTTTAATGGTTTTAATGAAAATGTTTGTTATCATGAAGATAAAGTTAAAACTGTTGATTATAGTTTTAATGTGAATATAATGAAAAATAATGCTTTTAAATGGGAAAAATTTCCTGGGAGCATTGTGAAATATACAAATAGAAGAAATGTTGATAATTTTAAATGGGAAAAATATCCTCGGGATATTATTAAAATATATAGTTATATTAGTAAAAAGCCTCGAAATTCCGAGTTGAATTTAGGAGGAAATTTACGAGGAAATTTTAATTCTAATGAAATGCATATTTCAGAGGGAATATATAGCGATCAGCCCCTTAAAACTTGTGAAATTTTAAGGACTGATGGAATAAATAGACTGGGTCAATGTCCTAGGGTTAACTTGAGAATTGACTGCAGGCATACTGATATGCTATTTGACACTGGTGCGAGCATTTCGATAATGTCTTGTGAATATGTTTATAAATATTGGCCTAATGGCGTGATTATTAAGGAAAATATGTGTTTAAAACAGTTCGATGGTTCTGAAATTGAGGTTTTTGGTAAAACTCAATGGTATGTGGTTTTTAATGATACTATCATAAGTTTAGATTTATGGATAGTAGGAAAAGCCGTGGAAACTATTATGGGGTGGGATTGGATTACCACAATTGGACCCTATAATAATTATTGGAATTTATTTATCATTGATAGCGAATTAGCTGGTGATAATGTTAAAAGAAAATTAATGGCGGATAATATCCGAAATGAACTTCAGAAAGAAGGGATATCTAAATTATTGAACGATGAAAACAGGATTGTCGTTAATAATAATTTTATTGAAACACCCGAAAAGGTAGTGATCAGTTCTGATCATACTGAAATAAATGGTAAAATTGATAGGGATCAATTTATGGAAATTGAAATCGATGGATTAAAAAAGATCGATCTGGCTATACCTATTTTGGTTAGAAAATATGGTATAATTTTTGAAGAAAAATTAGGACGTTTAAATGATTATCAAGTAGACGTTAAACTTAAAAAGGGTTTTTCACCCAACTTTTTGGCTTGCCGAAGAGTTCCTTTTGAGTGGAAAAGGGAGATCGATGAAGAATTAGATCAATGGGTTAGAAATGGCATCATTATTCCTGTGGAATATAGTGAGTGGGCCACACCATTGGTACCTGTTAGAAAATCGAATGGAAAGTTAAGGCTATGTGCTGATTTCCGTGTAACCTTAAATAGATGGGTAGTGGAGGTAAAATATCCATTGCCTAGGATTAAGGAGATTTTGGCCAGTTTAAAAGGTATCAAGTATTTTTCCAAAGTTGATTTTTCTTCGTCTTATTTGCAATTGCCTTTGAAAGAAGAAATTCATAAATTATTTACAATAACGACTCCTAAATGATTATTTGCCTTTTGTAGGCTACCGTTTGGATTAAGTGTGTCAGCACCGATATTTCAGCGCACTATGGCATCAGTTTTCCAGGGCCTTGAAGGAGTTTATTATTATATGGATGATGTGTCGGTGACTGGTATAACACCAGAGCAACATAATCAACGTTTGGAAGAGGTTTTCAAGCGAATTCGTGATAAGGGTCTGAGGGCCAGCAAAGAAAAGAGTGTTCTTGGGGTAACGGAAGTTATCTAATTAGGACATCGGATAAATGGAATGGAGGTGAAACCTCTGGATAAAAATTTAAAAAATATAACGAATATGAATCCGCCAACCAATAAAGCGGTTGCAATCATTTTTGGGTATGGTAAATTATTACCATCGTTTTGTGGAGGATTTTGCAAAAGTGGCATCTCCATTGTATGGTTTATTAAAAAAAGGTGCTCATTTTGTGTGGAAAATTGAACAGAAAAATACTTTTGATATTTTAAAAGAAAAAATTGGTGAGGAACCGATTTTAGTATGTTTTAACAATGATTTAGAGATCATATTGGCAGTTGGTGCATCCAACAAGGGGGTTGGAGGTGCATTGTTACATTTAATGGATGGTGTGGAAAGACCCATCATATTTTTTTCGAGAGTTTTCAGGGAAGTTGAAACTAGATAATAGGTTATTGAACAAGAAGTTCTAGCGGTTATCTTTGGATTAACCAAATGTCGTGAATATTTGATCGGTAAAAGATTTATAATTTACACGGATCATAAGCCGTTAATTCATTCATTTAAAAAAGATAATAAAGAGTTAATGCTGTCTCCCCGGTTGCAACGTTGGTTGTTTCTGGTGGGAAGTTTTAATGTGGAAATCAGATATCGCAGGGGCAAGGAAAATTGTTTGCCTGATATTTTATCTAGGTTAGGATCCAGTGAAGGGGATTTTGACGTTAACAAAAGTATAATGGTGAATGAAGACAGGGCATTAATTTGTTCTTTATCACATATGTTAAAGGGTGGTCCTACGAATTGGGAGGATCTTAAAAGCAATACCTTAAGGGATAAGGAATTGGGTCGAGTAAAATTATTTTTGACGGGACAAGAGCCGTGGAAAAATAGTAGTAAAGTTTATAAAAAAATTGAAAAGGAATTGTCCATAGTGGATAATTGTTTGATGAGGGGTAATAGAGACGTGATTCCGTTAAAATTACGGAGTAAAATTGTACGATTGTTACATGCAGGACATCAGGGTCGAGATAAAATGAAATCTTGGGCTCGTGAGTATGTATGGTGGCCTGGAATGAGCGATGATATTGAAAAGATTACGAGGAGTTGTATTCCATGTAATTCGTGTGCCGCTATGCCCCGGAAGGAAATAGGCAGTTATTGGCCGTGACCTGAAAAGCCGTGGGAGCGTATTCACGTGGATTTCTTTGACTTAAGCAAGAAGTCGTATTTTTTAGTTGATTGATGCATATTCTAAGCGGATTGAGTATGAAGAGGTTCATGGATTAACCACTAGGATTGTTATCAAATTGTTACAAAGTTTATGGGCTAGATTCGGGATTCCAAAGACTATTTTGTCTGATGGAGGTCCGGCCTTTGTAAGTGAAAGTTTCAGAGATTTTTGTAATGCATTGGAAATTAAATACGTATTAGCTCCACCATATCATCCCAGTTCCAATGGACAGGCGGAGAGAATGATAACTATAGTGAAAAATTGGATTAAAAAGGCCAAACAAGAAAATAATGATGTTTGGATGGCCCATTTATATTATAATAATTCCAGAAACCGGGAGGGAATTACGCCGGTGGAGTTATTTTTGGGAAGAAGGACCAGAATGCCGTTGGATTTCTTAAAGTCCAAAGATGGAGCTGGTGTACCTTCTGTTGATAAGATTGTAATAAAATATCCTGTGGGAAGAAGTATATGGGCCCGTTTGTTTGATAACAAAGGGAAGAAATGGGAAAAAGGTCATATAGTAGAGAACCTTGGTTCCAAATTAAATGAACTTTTGTTAATAAATGGAATTACGGTAATCAGGCATAATGATCACGTAAGGTTAGGAGAAAGTAAGAAAGGATAAAGATAATATGGAAATGCTTAAATATTAATCTTATCTTATTTCTTCCAGAATCTTAGATTTTTGTGATAATATAGCATAATATGTTAATATGTTAATATGAATATTGAAAATATTGATTATTTCGGGATACTCCTGATACGATACTTGCGTAGTATTGGGGGTAAGATAATGTAATAAAGATAGAGGTAGGCTTATTTGTGATTAAGTGCTAATGGAATTCATTAAAGGATGCTTAATTGAAACATTGAAAAGCCTGGAAAATAAAGGGAGTTTTATATTTCGGAGGGAGAACTCAACATCCTATAATTATACGGGATTATAATTGAGTCTCGGGGTATTGAAGGGCAAAGGCGATTTTTTGTGTGTGTTTTCCCTTGAAGGAAGAGATTCCTTTGGTTATTTAATTAATCACGTAATTGATAAAATTAGTGGAGTACAAAACAAAATTATATAAATTAATAAATTAGTTGAATACTGAACAACTGGGGGTGTTTTGGTAATTTATGCTTTCGGTAAAATGGTAATAAAGGCCATCGGAGGAAAGTATTTTATTAATTTATTGATGATTTTATATACTCGAGTATCCTCATTGTAGAGCGATAGTGAGTATTAGTAACATAATTAAATGGTATAACGAGAGAATCGTTTATGATTATGTTATATACCGAGCAGCTGTTTTTTTTTCTTTCAGGGAAAGAAAAGAAGTAAAATTTAAAAAAAGTAAATTTTTGTGATGATTGGTCAGTGGAAAAAGAAAAAGAAAATTATGTTTTTTTTGTTTTCACGGACGGTTTACTTTGATGTTGCTATGGTTATAAAAAAAAACTTCAAATTGTTGTTATGCAAATAAAAGACTATAAACTTTGACCTTATGGTTGAACTAAGAGTATAAACTTTGACCTTGTGGTTGAACTAATGTGATTCACAAAAGTGAGAAAACAATTCTAGGATAAAATTTTCGTTTCAATTGATGTTATTAAGGGCTATCGTTATTCAAATCAAGCCAACGATTACCGGATGACTATCGTGATTCAAGTTAAGCCAACGATTAAATGCTGACTATCGTTATTCAGATCAAGCCCGCAATCGCATGACGATTATCGGTACAACTAGTAATCAAGCTCAAGAGTATATAAATATGGAGTAAAAGTGGACAACTGGATATCCTTATTTTTCCTTATGAATACAATATAAAGAAAAAATTCTTTTATTATAACAACATAATTAGTAATATAATATTTTTCAAAATATATATTAAATATTATATTTAATGGTGAGGAATGTCATTGGCCCATAAAGGGGTGACATGTCTTAGTATGTTAAAAGAAAAAAATATATATATGTATTCTCATTAGACGCCAATCAGATGGATTGTAGACATCTGATTGGAGAAAAAAATTATTATTATTTAATGTAAAAAAAGAAATAATAAATATAATAATAATTATAGATATAGATATAGATTTGCATTATTGATAGTGAAAATCATTATGTATTTCTCGGATAATTTTTATAAAAAATAAAGAAATTTTGAATAATCTAAATATTGTGTTTTTTTTATATATATATAATTCGAAAAATATATTCAGGAATATACTTTAGAAGAATATACTTAAAAGGTTGGAAATATATTCAGGAATCCAAGGATTAAAATTGTATCAATACTTAAAAAGTAATGTTGTTAGACGGCTCGATTTTAACCGATTTTTAAAAACTGATAACTGAATATTTTTTCTAAAAAAAATATTACCTAATCTGCGGGATTTTCTAATAGATATCCAAACCTCTGTATTACCTATGATATATTGCGTAATATTTTTCTGGATAAATTATTGAGTTAGACGTTTTTTAAAAATCGGCTCAAATTGAGCCGTTTAACAACACTAGGTGTATAAATTGAACATAAAAATAGTTTAAATTGAATGTATAAAAAAGTTAAGTATGTGTATGAACGAAGCAAAATATAACCTTTAGATACTATTTAATGACCTAATATAAATAAAACATAATTTTAATTTATTAATAATTCTATTATGCAACATTTATTTAGATAATCTATTATTTATCAAACCATTTTATAGTAATTTACTTGATTTGTATAATATTATTTGAAATAAAATATTGTTTTAGAGGGTGAGCATGTCAATATGATCAGCTTTTCTAAGATTCCGATAAGTATTGAAGAAACGTTTTGAATTCATATCCAGCAAACTGAGTACCTTTATCAAAAAAATGTAACAAATAACCCAAATCTAGCAATCGCCGAATTAATAATAGTTAAAATTGTAACTTTAACCTATTTGGTTAGGGTATGAATATTCAATTGCATAACAGCACTTCTCTGGCTCTCGGTTCTTCTTCTTGAAAACTTTTGCAGAATTTAACGAAATCGTCAACATCACGCTCAAGATTTAGCCAAAAAACATCCTGATTAGTAAGAAATAGGTGTGCAATATAACATTAGACCGTCTTCGGATGTGTCACAAGAAATCACAACAGGAATATCGGCTGAATAAGGAATTATTGTATCATCTGTTTTAGGGTTGCAGGTATGAAAAAATGAATTTTTTCAAAAATCATAATGATCACAAATATATAAATTCATCTCCTTAAGAAATCAAAATAATGTAATTAAAATATCAAGTAAAATAAATGATGACCTTCTTTTAAAATATTTTGGTTCAAACTGTTTTTGAATAAAAAATGAAATATATAAAAACTGTAACATTTTGATGTTTTTCTAAGGATTGAGAGATTAGAACCGTTGTCAAATAAAGAAAGGTTAGAACTAAAATGATACTAAATCAGACAAATATCCTCGATTATATATACTTTTCTATAATATTCGTCAAATAAAGAAGGGTTAGAACTAAAATGATACTAAATCTTTATTAAATAATAAGATAAAAACATAATCAAAATAAAATTAATACA